ATTGACTTTAATGTTAAATGCATTCCAATTATCGTAATTATTTTCACCACAAAGAGTCCAACACGTCACAACCTTCTGATAAAAATACTTATGGGAGTTGACCATTTATGGGAGTTGCTACCCCTGGTAAAAGGAATCTTATGGCTGTTTAACCACTGAATTAAACACAGGCGTTCTATGGAAAACAATTAATGTATTTTGCTTGAAAAGAGCAAGAGACTCATTGTAGAAACGTAGCCCCGATTAAAAATACTACACTAATTGTTTTCCATGGAACTCCTGTGTTTAATTGAATCTATCGATGAAGAAATGTCAAACATTTAACATTGAAGTCAATGGTGAGAGTATTACCAGTCCGAGACCATATATAGACGGATAACCCGAGATCAGAGAAGCAAGTCTGGATCCATAATATATAATTCAGTATAAGATAATTGGCAAGCAGCACACAGTAAATAATACGCAACTAACAAATGTGAGGAAGAAAGCTCTTCACAACGACATTACAAGGACCATAAAACTGTCTGCTATCTGAAGTTGTGTCACGTGTTTTAGAAAACGTATGTCTATCCTGCTTATTGCACGGCATCCATAACTACTTGAAAGTACAATTCCACGCTGAAAAAATCGACTATGTACTTAGATCACTGAAAATCGCCGGGGTTTATCCTGTCATGAACTCAAGGCTTCCATCGCAATTTTGAAAAAAAAATCTTTTCAAAAACTGTATCCTCCAGCGTGTTCACAACTTTTTCGGAATCGGGGGTGGGGGGTGGGGGTGGTTTAACTCTAGAACGGAAGGTAGCAGAACGCTGATATTCGATAGGTTTCACCCCTTCGTGACACCATAGCTTCATACCAAATTTGATAAAGTTCCGGTAAATAAAGTACATGTATTCGAAATATAGGGGTGACTCAGGAATGGACGTTCGAGAAATACTGGACATCAATGCTTCACACCAAATCTGTTTAAAATTAGCCCCTATCGCGTTCACAATGGCAATTATGACGATGTTAGCCCAACATTATCAAACTAAATCCAAATGACACCAACTGGGAAATATATAAATGGCTCTTTTCAGAACCAAGTATATCTATACATGATTACATGATACACTTCACATTCTTATTCAAATCGAATGACTAAGAATATCAGGACTTGGAAGAGTAATAAATGACCCAACCACAAGGCATGAAGCTAAACTACGCAATGTACTGACCAAACTGAAAGATGACAACCAACTTGATAACAGTTTATATTACAAACTTAAACCATCACACACAGTGCCACCTTATGCTAGAGCGACTATCAAGATCCACAAAGACCCAGTCAAGGCCCGACTTCTTATTATTTTGTTACAGGGACAATACCTCTCAATACCTCTCCAAGCTCCTGTCACCTTTAGGGAAAACAGCTGAATCATTTATACAAGACTGGCGAATTCTGCGGGAAAATAAGACTGGTAAACTCCGACTGTAAGATCATCTCCTATGAGAGAGAGAGAGAGAGAGAGAGATGGGGTTTAGCGTCCACTCGACACAAACTAGGTCATTTCAGGACTAACATATATGGTTCAATTTTATTTTCATAATTCGCATGCGCGTAGGGGTCTTTAGCAGTGGGAGGAAACCGGAGGGCCTGGAGAAAACCCACGAGGTTGAGCAGGCGACCCTACTCCTTGTCACGTACAACCGGGGAATCGAATCATCTCCTATGATGTAGTGGACCTCTTCACAAATGTGCCCCGCGATCACACATTACAAAGTTTTAGAGACAGGATAAACTACCTTGATACGCCACTAAACACAACTCTCAGCACCGATGATATCATGGAACTTATAAAAGTATGTATTTCTTCTACCTATTTTAGATGGGGTGACGACTTCTATGAGCAGATCCATGACTTACCCATGGGTAGCCCCCTCTCACCTTTGGTCTCTGGAGTATTTGTGACGTCCCTGTTGTTCTTAGTGTTTAACGACCACTTCCACCGAAGGTGATATCGCAGACAAGTCTTATTTTTTTTATCATCTTAGCGCACGCGCAAACCGGAGTACCTGGAGTAAACCCACGAGGTTGAGAAGGAGCCACATACGCTCACACCAGGATTCGAAACCACAGCCGCAAGCCAGAGGTAACCGGCTAACTAGAGATCGAAGCGCGGCACTCTAGACCACTAGTGCATCTCTCCCCCACCCCCCTATGACGCCCCTCGAACAAGAATCGTTAAAGACGTCAGTCATCAAACCTATCGACTGGTATCGCAAGGTGGACGAAACCCTTTGTCGTGCTCAACAAAGATAATGACCCCAACAGCCTCTCCCAACATCTCAATAGCCAGACACACAGAATTAACTTCACCATGGAAGCTGAAGAAGAAGGCACAGTTCAATTTTTGGACGAATTAGTCACTATATCGCAACACTATACAGACCAATATATTTATTTCAACTCAAATCACCCATTAAATATTAAGAAGTTTATTCTTTCAACCCTCACCAAGCGCGCCACTACTATTTGTCAAGCAGATTCATTAACTACAGAATTAATTAACTCATTTACGGAAAGTCTTCTACGTATTTAATAATTACCCTACACATTTTGTTAACCAAGCCATCAGAGAATTGACCAAACCGGCTACGAGTGGTATAAGGGTATCCACCCCCTTTATTGACTCTGGATCACACTAAATTAGAAGAATACTTCAACAAGCAGGAATCGAGACCTGCTTCTCTAGTGACAAAACAAATCCAAAGCATCCTGGCAGCAAATGGTAAAAAAGAACAGACGAACCCACCACCACCTAAGGGTTGCATTTACGAAATAACCTGTTCCTGCAACAAAAAGTATATAGGGGGACTAAACGGCCGCTGGATAAAATAATCAAAGAACACCAATCCTTGGCAGCATATAACCAATCAGCAGTGGCTGAACATCTTAGTGATAAAAGACGACATCGTGTAAATTGGGACTTGACACGGACGCTAGCCGTAAACCAACACCAGGAAAAAACCCAGAAAAATCCTTGAAGATATTCACATCAGAAGAAACCAGTCAGTACTCAACCGGGATACTGGAGTATACCTACCACACTCATATGACTCATTGATCTTAGGAACTGTTAACTAAATTCGTTCTCTGTGTTGTGTAAGTTTTTAACTTTTGGCCTTTCATCATATTGTGAACAGAATAACTCCACGATACGTCGCTTTAAATAATAATTAGGTTTTATAGCATTGGTTGTGTTTATTACGCGCTCAGCTGCCAAATGCCTCTCAGAAGCTATCGTTCATTTGGAACATCTTTATCAGTACAGTTGTAGTTTGTGTCTTTTTCAATACTAGTATATGTGTTAAGATTTGCCTCACATCACCGCCCCGCCCACTTAATTGGTTTTTTTTAATCCCTCAATAGAATTTGTTTCAACCAGAGTCATATATGATTTTCTTTTTTATTATGGTTTTGATTCTGCATAAATTGTTAGAGTACTAGATTTTTTATAAGATGATTGGTTATATATTGTTGTTTAATAAGAGTTGGAGATTAATGGTATATATCAGTAATATATAGTTTCTTATTCACTGGGTTTTTTTTTCGTTTTTTTAATATGGTGATTGAGGGTTTATTATTATCAATTGGAGGGTCTAGAGCACAAGTGATCTAACAACCAACTAAAATGGTTGGTAGTTAGATCACTTGTGCTCTAGACCCTCCAATTGTTGTTTTATTAGCATGAATTTGTAGATTTCATTCCCTTTAAGGTTTTCTTATTGATTAATAATAGTTTACTTAAAGTAGCTAAGTCTCTAACTCAATATCGCTCAAAATCTTTGACATTGAAAACACAATTTAATTGTCTATTTAAATCAACATTCATGTCGTGATCTTACCAGGAAAAGATGGGCTTCTGATACTATAGCAATAAATACTATCGATGTAGACTAGAATAACCAGACGCTAGAGATTGTCATTCGATTGAGACCTCTGGCGTATTTCGCCGAACATAACTGATTAGAAATTAGAGTAAAAACGGAAACGATTGAATGTAAATCAGTTTATATACATTCATATTACATTATTATGTGCGTTGCAACCCATTTGTGTCAATTTCTAGGCCCCAAATATTAGAGATTTAGTTCCTTTAAGTATGTGGTTTGACTTTGAATGGCTTCGGCTTCAAATTGTTTATTAGTTTATTGTTATCCGTTTCTATATAAACTTCTGTAACATGTTGATTGTATCATTGCTGGATAACGATGAGAGTGTCCTCATTGAAACATTTCAGTTAATAAACCTAGTGAATATTATCCATAAAGCTGTCTGTTATTATATATCGCTTTCACTAAATGCCTTTTAAAGACGCCTGTCTATTACTAGATAACTTGAATAATTTGTGTGCTTTAAATTAAAAGTAATAATGGAAAGAGAACAAGCTACAATATTTCAGAAGGAATGCACATAGTTACTACATGTACATAAGAAGTTGCATGCATTAAAGCAAGCATATTAAACATACAATATGCAATGCTAAATCTGCCTTTGGCAGGTCTTTCTTTGGGCCTGAAGTGTTATCTAAATTATTAATTAGATATTTATTAACCCATCCAGACCATAATCAACTTTCGGTGTTATCGCTAGCTTGTGGTATTTACTGGATTTGAATCGGATTTGCTGCTCAACGCTCATTGATGATTTAATCTAAAAATGGATAATAGAGACTATGTTTTTTATCGTACCGACTTTAGTAATGATGATCGAGGCTAGGTCTAAAATCCAAAAGCTAAAATCTAGGTTCAGAGTGGATCAATTTGACTGAAATTTTCAGCAAATTCCCTTTACATTATCTAGTTTTTAACTATTATTGTGAGAACTGCCAGCTCTTTATCTAATCTCCCATAATGCCACTTTAACGGAAGCATTACCAGGTGAATTCTACCCCATCCAGATCGAATATTAATGTTATAATAAGTACGATAACAGCACAGTATCAACTATGACATAACAGTTGTTACTTTATTCTCTTCATATTGTTCACGCTTAAAAGTTTGGATGTCTGCCACAAAGATTGTAAGACGCCACTAAATCAGCTGATGTAAAGACTCACATTTGCTTATTTAAAGTCTACCTGGTCGCATATCACAATACTAACAAGCAAGGTAAGCCAATCTCTTATCATTTTAATTTTAAAACTTGCTTACTGATGTTTGTTATAAATACAATATACATGTAGTATTTAAGGCTATCAAAAGATTAATGTTAAGATTTGAACTTTAGTTTCAAAAGATCAGACTGATAAATTAATATATAGATATACATATATATCTATATATACTATATATTCGAAATAAAGGTGTTTTAGGGAAAAAAACTAGGTTTTTGCGAGTACTTTCCGCTTTATTAAGCTTCTTCAGGCAAATTTTACCAATTCCAATAATTGATGTGACGTAATAACGTCATGGTTACAACAATGAACTATAATGGCTATAATAAGCACGATAAGATAATATTGCATACATTATGTATCATTAACAAAATTATTAATTAAACATTTATATTTTACACAACTACAATGTTAATATAACAAAAATCAACACCTTGAATTAAGCAATGGTTTGAATTTTTCAATAAAATATGATTCCTTTGCTTCTAATAGATCGTTGTTTTTGCTGTTTAATTGATATAACGGAAAGACATTAAAATTGCATTTGCCACAAACATCGAGGTGTCGGCTCAGGGGTATCATCCTGTATAGCGGATTAAGAATATGTTGTCGATGGAGGTTCATTCTTAATCTAAGCATATTTATGGTCTTTCCGATATATCTACCCTTACAGCCCGGACAAATTATTACATATATAATGTAATCGGATTTACAAGACATTGGTTGTTTTACATGAAATGTAAAATTGTCCGTGATATTTATGGATGAACCTTCAATTATGATTGAACACGTTTTACATTTGGATTCATTACACTAAGACTTGTTAACTGTGGGTATGATTTTAGTTGATTCGAATTTTGATGAGATTAGTAATTTAGCCAGGCTTTGAGGTTGCTTTAAACTATTTATTATTTTTGCCTTATTTAATATATCATCCATAATCGGGCTATTTTTAAGAATATGGAGATTATTATTAATTATAGATTTACCATCTAGTTCATTGTTGTAACCATGACGTTATTACGTCACATCAATTGTTGGAATTGGTAAAATTTGCCTGAAGAAGCTTAATAAAGCGGAAAGTACTCGCAAAAACCTAGTTTTTTTCCCTAAAACATCTTTATTTCGAATATCTAACACTTAAGAGTAGCTTTAACTATAACCTTTTATTATATATATATATATATATATATATATATATTGGCCCTTAGAATAAATATTTTCATCAAATTATTTACATTTTGTTTATTTTTAACCAGGACTCGCACTTGCCTTCAATTTATATAAAAATTGTTCATCCTCGTCAACTGGAATGCTATTTTAATTTCCAAGGATTTGATTGCTAAATTACAAAAAAAAAGAAAAAAAAATATTTAGCTCGTAAGCGACACATTTCATCAAATCTTTTGCGGTTAGTCTAATTTTAGTCGTTCTTGTAACTGATTGTAAAACATCTATTTATCAACAAAATGATGCTGGTTCATATAAAATAAAACTGATGGCATACCTTCAAGATGTCTGGCATTATTGTAAATCAAAAGTTGTTACTTCTGTATTTTCTTTACTAAATATACATGATTGTTATTATTGTTAATTGTGCCAATAATTTAAAATTATCGCGTGCAATTTATATTCATAACAGTATTGTCCTATCTGTGACCTCTCATTTCTACATGACCTTGACAAGCTTTGTAAAACGAAAACGGCCTTGATGCGTTATTCTCTGTGTTAAAGTAATTATACTTATCCTAACAAGATACATACAAATCATCTTTAACATCAGGTGAATATAATAAATATGTCGCTGTAATTCGACTTTTCCAAATACATGTATTTAAAAACTCTCAAGATTTTGCAAATAAAAGTCGTTTTATTTAGCGAGCTTTTGGCGATCTTACTTTCCTGCACAAACCAGGATCTTAAAGACCTTGTGTTATGGGCGAAAATTTGTCTGGATCCCTTCAAGAGTTCTTTTACGTCTACAAATACAACGATGGACCATGAAAGTTTGAGAAACTCTACTGGCGTCTATTAAAATAAAAAAATTTTTTTTTTTTTTTAAAAAAAACCCTTTAGATCTAGTCTAGTACATAAACACCACTGGGGAACATTGACAACCTCGCGTAAGAGTCAGTTGTCAGTTAGACAACAAAGTAAATGCTGACGAAACGCAGGGTCATATTATATTCATTACCTAAACACTTCTCCTTGTGGTTGTCAATTATACGAAGATTTATTACCAAGAGTGAACATTTTTGAATTATTACAATAATTGCATAATAATACATATTTTAAAATATATGCCAATTATTAAAATCCACGCAACTCACTGGATAATGCTATTCTAGATAATACGTTAGAGATAATATTTCCCAACTTAACATGGTTATCATTAAGAAAAGCTGCCTTGTAGTAGACTACGATGTGCTTTGAATGCAAAATCTCAAGAAATGATCGACCTAGACATACACAAAAACCCTTAATGACAATTACAAATGTTTCATGCTATCTTATGTATGGCATACTAGTATGTTGTGGATGGTTAATTTGGGTATGATTGTTTCTGGCAAGACTAGAAAATCTTCACAGCGATGAGCGAATAATTTAAAGGAGCAGTCCCAGACATATTTTAGTCAATAAAGCCGGTTAATTCGGAGTGAAAGACTCTTATTACTAATCTGCGCAACTATTTAAAACTATGTTAGACCTGTCAAAGAAATACAAACTTTTAGTTTTCGCGTGGGGTTTGCTAGAAGTCCGCAAATTCCGCGCTGTGCAAGTCCTGGGATATTCATATATACTTGCCGAATTTATAGTTTCAAATTATGGACGCGATTATCAAGTCACCCATACAATTGAAGAATGAAATTCCTTAAAAAAATAGTTACGGAACTCCATTAAGCAAAGCCAGTCACCATTTCTGAACGGCACAACATTTTATTTTGAAATTTTCAGGCAGGGTTAATAGTCTATATCGTTACAATTTGGCTTTGATTTACAAAATTCCACTTATATTTATTTACGATGTATTGTGAAATCAGGGACTTCACCTTTAAACATACATTATGCAAGAGCTAAATCTTCCTATTGAAGGTATTTTTTAGGCCCGAAATGTTATCTAAATTATTAATAAGACATTAATTAACTTATCCAGACCATAATCAACTCTCGGTGTCATAGCTAGCCTGCGATATTTACTGGATTAGGATCCGATTTGCTGCTCAGCTTTCATTCATGATTTGATCATGAAATGGATAATCGAGACTATGTTATTTTATCGTACCGACTTTAGTAATGATGAGCGAGGCTAGACCGAAAGTTCAATTTTCAGCAAATTCCCTTTACATTATCTAGTTTTTAACTATTATAGTGAGAACTGCCAGCTCTTTATTTAATCTCCCATAATGTATCTTTAAGTGTTTTATGGCATGGTTGATGTAGATATACTTTACATTTGTTACTACATGTATGTATACCGGAAATCTAGAACACGGGTAATTTATGGTTTCTAATAAAAAAAACCTAAACAGTCTATGTTTTTGATACAAAATTCTGAAAATGTGCAGACTTATCCAATTACAAAGTACATGTACAAAACAATAAGCATACTAGTCTGCGATTATATGCCAACACAGACACCATAATATACGTAAAAGAGCACTACTATTGATTATTTGGTTTGTTTCCGGATTAATTATCAACTTAAAATAACAAAAACGTTTATACCCCTCATATATATCATACCCTAGTGCTTGGGGAAGTAACAGAATTAGTCGTTCAGACATTTAAGAACAGTCCAATGCTTCCTTAGAAGGGATAAAACCAAACTGCCAGAGTTTATCAGGATGGTTTTAAAGAGCAAGGCCCACAAATTAAACGCAACGATTGAAGACATAGACCAAATGGGTTGTTTGGAGGTTTCAACTGAAAATATCTAGCCGTTCGTAAGTGATCGCTAGATTTGCTTTACGGGGTTGCGTAACTCATTGAATGAATTCTACTGTTCGTGATTTGGTAATGGCGGCAACCATTTTTCCACTATAACTTAGCTAAAGATACATTATAGGAGATTAGATAAAGAGCTGACAGTTCTCACTATAATAGTTAAAAACTAGATAATGTAAAAGGAATTTGCTGAAAATTTCAGTCAAATTGATCCACTCTGAACCGAGATTTTAACGATTGAATTTTCGGCCTATCCTCGATCATCATAGTCTCGATTATCCAGTTCATGATTAAATCAAGAATGAAAGTGGGGCAGCAAATGGGATTCTAATCCAGTAAACATCGCAGGCTAGCGTTGACATCGAGTGTTGATTATAGTCTGGATAAGTTAATTAATGTCTAATTAATAATTTAAATAGCATTTGAGGCCTAAAAAAAGACCCGCAATTGGCAGATTTAGCTCTTACATAATGTTTAAGAATGTAGATGTGGCTAACCAGACAATGGGAATAGTTTCAAAATTGGAGACATGAAAAATGAGAATTAGTATTTCAGCGATAAAGTACAACATAGCTTTAAAGTTGTACACGATTAGGAAAATGGTTCTATGACTCTTCCTTACGGAATTAACCCGTCTGAATCACTAAAATATTTATGTGTCGGTTTCTTTAACTCCAAGGTATGTGTGTATGGTATCTACATTTACTGCATGTAAATGGCGTTGATCCAAGAGAGCACGTAGAAGAACTAATGACAATGACTAGAATTCAATAATGTTAGATAATCTTAAGTTGACGTTCTAGGCAAGCGTTGTTTTAAGTTTATCGAGGAAACCAAATCGATGCCTAATGCAGAATATGCTATTACAATTCCCATTTATGCTATATGAAACGCGTAAAATATCTAAAAACTATCAAGAATAAAGAGTAATATTAAATCAAAGACCTCATTTTAAACATGGTAAGGTAATTAATTTGGCTTGTGAACGCGATAGAAGCTGTAGTTTTTTTCGGATTCTTTTCAAATTGGTGTAAGTACTGTGGTCATGAGAGGACAAACCCGATCGATAGTCGGCGTTCTGCGACTTTTCCTTCCGGAGTTATCCCCCACCCCCTTTGCCGAAAACCTTGTGAACGCGATATAGGCTACATTTTTTCGACGGATTCTTTTCAACTTTGGTGTTGTGGTCATGAGAGAATAAACCCTATCAATATTCAGTGTACCATGGTTTTCGGTTCCGGAGTTGTCCTCTATTTTGCCGGAAATCTTGTGAACACGACAGAGACTATAGTTTTCGGTGGGAAGCATAGGGGTCATGAGATATTAGATTTCCTCAACATCCAAATTTTCATTTCCAATAAGCTGCAGTTAGGACAAAGCTGCTGTGTGGGCGTACTCTACGCTTTGCGTTGCTATCTATTGGAAATCGCAATTAGGCGACGTGTATTTATCAAATACTGCAGTTATATTCATTTATGATCCGACATATTAAACGTTCTTGCAAATCGTGTACGGTAGGCTATTCATAGAAATAGTGATCTCTTCAGGTTTTTATGTACTTTCGGTCAGATTTTCACTAAGTATACATATCACAAATCTGAATTTCGTGTGCATTCGAAAACTGGTAGTGGTACGAAAGAATAAGGGCAAGAGTAAGCATACCATACCTTGTACAGGACACTGATGACTACTTGACGTGGATTACACTTACAGAAGTCGATATACTAAATTTCGATAAAAAAAAAGGCCCTACTAATCACTGACAAGAACCTTTTTTTCTCAATTTCACTTACCCATTGTTTTATCAATTTTTTCATGAAATCATTTCAATTTTTGGATATGATGTGTAGAATATGCATATTTATTACATCTCGTTCATTGTTTCTCACTTCTTCAATACTTTTGGCAATAATGACCACAAAGAACGCACTTGTCAGTGATTAGTAGGCCACATTGTTTAACATTTCTAGATTACTAAACCTCCTTCTATGTATTTATAAAACTTCCCGAGAGACTAGATAATGTGAGGTACTGGTAATTTAATTTTACAGAGAACTAAAATATCAGTTTGCCAGAATGTTGATGGTGGTCGGGAATTGGTTCGATATTGAAGAACATGTTATAAAAAGAGAAGAAACTCGTTGATAAAATATTATATATTTTCAGCAAAACAAAAGACCATGTCTGAAACACTCACTGCTGTAATATGTGGAGGAGGCAACGCTGCACATGTAATGACAGGTCTTGCATCCTCTCGTGAAAATGTTGATATCCGAGTCCTTGATGTATTTTCCGATGAAGCAGAAAGATGGACGAAAACACTAGGAGCTGATCCATTAGTACTTACCGTTAATCACCCTGATGGCACCCATGACGAGGTACGTATTATTAAAAATGATTCTCGAAGGTCGTAAACTTAACCCCAAAATAGTCATAATCCATATTATTCATTCATTCGATTCCATTTCTGGTTTCTTTTGCAGGTTCGTGGAAAACCCAACATCATCACCAATGATGCCAGTCTAGCTGTTCCAGGAGCCAGTGTAATCATTTTTGCCGTCCCCGCCTTCGCCCATGAGTCCTATTTCCAAGCTATCAAACCATATCTTAAAGCAAATACCACTATCGTTGGTATGCCTGGTCAACCTGGCTTTGAGTTTCAGTGCTTTAGTATCTTAAAAGATACCGCGCCAGAATGCTGTGTCGTCGCATTTGAGGGTCTGCCATGGGCTGCTAGAATAAGTGAGTTCGGCAGAGCTGTTACTGTCTTGAGCACCAAAGATTTTCTAGGCTGCGTCGTCATCAAAGGCAAAAGTAATGTGGGTCCCGATCCCCTGAAACCAGTTCAGTATCTTCTTGGTCCCCGCCCAGTAGCTCAAATATATCACAACTTCCTTGAACCAACTCTGAACACTAAATCCATCATGCATCCACCTATAATGTACGGAACATGGTACGAATGGGATGGTCAGCCATTGGACAGTAAGCCATTGTTTTACCAGGGTCTTAATGCAGAAGCTGCTGAATTAATGTCTGGAATGAGTGATGAACTTATTGCTACAGCTAGAGAAATTTCCCGAAAGAAGCCAGAAATTAATCTTGACGAAGTTGGGCATCTTTTTGATTGGTTTAAGTTGATCTATAAAGATGAGATAAAGGATAAAAGCAGTCTTCTGACAGCACTACAGACTAATTCAGCATACAACGGACTCCTTCACCCAATGAAGGAGACCCCAGATGGCAAGTTCCTTCCCGATTTCACTTACAGATATATGACAGAAGATGTTCCGTTTGGACTTGTTGTTTTGAAAGGAATCAGCGAGATTGCTGGTGTGGCCACTCCTGTTACAGACAAAGTTCTGGCTTGGTCGCAAAAAATGATCGGCAAGGAATACATTGTTGGTGATAAACTGTGTGGAAAGGATGTGGCCACTTCAAGAGCACCACAACGCTATGGTTATAAAACCTTAGACGATTTCGATATTCTTTTGCAATAATTGTGCTCAAACTGGTGATTAACCGCCTTAATCTAATTAAGAATTCAATCAATGTTTTTAATTAATGTATGGTTCCAGTTACATCTATTACTAATGGTATTTTTTTCACATTGTCCAAACGAGGTACCACGTTACTGTTCATCTTAAGATGAACTGCCTAGAAGTTCAATTTACAAAACATGAACATGTATTTACAACTGCTTTCTTGATATATATATATGTATCTTTTTAAGTTTTATCTCATAGCCTTAGGACGCTCAAACCTTTAAGATTATTTTACATTATTCAATTGTTCAATCATAACTTTACATTTCTCAATAATACAAAACAGAGTTATTTAAAATGTTTGTTGTGTTACTTCTTTCATTTCCCCGTGTTTTCGTTAAAGATATATTTAATCTAAAGATGCGATCTTTAATACAAAATCATGGATTGGAAATCATATTCAAACTATCACGACAATGTGTGTATGCTACCAAAAGCATTGTATCTTTTGAGATACTTCTAGGGAATTTTAAGGGGGCCTCCATTACGTATTATAACTGAAAGACGACGAAGTGACGAGCGCTAGCTTTACTTAGTTTGTGAACAATGCAGACGCTTAGGTAACAAAGTCAAACTCGGTGGGTAACGTTTATTTACAAGACAGTAACTTGTTTATTTAATTATGGGCCAATTGTAGCAGTTTTAGTCTATAATTTGAAATACCTAACACATTCAAACAGTTCACAAGAAAATAGTTTATCCCTTGTCTTCCAGAACAATGAAATGTTGTAAAAGTATTACCATGTCAAAATTGTTAATTTAATTTTGACCCATGTAGGGTGAAGAGAGGTTGACCGTCTTATTTTTCTGCACTAAACCGACATACACCATAGGTCTGTTGTTTAAAAGAGAAAATATTTATTATTTAATCTCTCTACCATCTTGAATTTTAGGTGCTATTTTGAATACATCAAAATTAAATATAGATCAAATTAAAATGAAACGGGGTATAATGTCCTACTTTTCTGTTCCGTCCGGGCTAATGAAGACGGCATACGTCATGCAGTGTGCTACGGACATATTTTTTCCCTGTCATCGACGTTATGGCCTACTCTTATATCGCATTCCAACTGTCAAGGGTTCTTTAAGGTGCACGGGAGCTCGGCTTTTTCGTCCAACCAGAATGACTAGAGGCCGTTCCTTGTCACGACCTTCATCTTGCACTATTGACACGGGAAAACCACGACGGCGAATCACGGGGAACTTTCTCGGCCAAAACCGGGATAGAATCCGGGAATCCATAGCTAGCGACCCAGAGATCTACTCAGTGAACCACCGCGGCTCCGGATAAAATTGAACAATTTTACGATTGAATTGTGATATTTACGTAAATTGATTACAATGGTGGCCTATAGTCCTTGCTTCACGTTGTGGTATCTTGCGTACGCTTTAACAGTTATCATTTGATCTGCATGAAATTCCAATCTGATTAAACCACAGATCCTTTTTCGTTTCTTTTTTTTATAGTTCAAAATTTCGTTTTCCTTGTCTTTACTACACTAGGATCTGGAAGAGTTGTTATATAACCCGCGTTCTGGTTGATGTGAGGGATTAGCTAATGAAACGGTCTGTTGCAGGGAGTTCTTGGCGTGCAATGCACGGAACTGTGGGTATCCTACTAGAAACGTCAACGCTGAGTGTTTAATCAAATGTCTGACGTCATAGGGTCAAAAGTCGCTTGCATGACCCCTGATGCGAGCTCCCAGTACAACTGATCAGATCTTCAAGTTGGTGAAGTACAGATTGCGTTCTGTGATAAAGTAAAAAATCCTGGTGTGTATTTGGACTCCAACAACAGGATGACCAGTCATGTAAACTATCTAACCAAGATATGCTACTACCATCTTAGAAACATTAGTAGCATCCATCATAATTACGTTAACGTCAGAATCCACAGCAACCGTTGTACGATCATTAATTTGATCAAAATTAGATTACTGTAACACTCTTCTGGCTGGAATTTTATCTGAATTATAGTCTTCAAATTTGGTTTTAAATCATTTGAAGTTTCAGCGGCTTTGACGTGGAATGCCCTCCCGTTAGCTTTAAAATCTGCTCCAACATTTTCGACATTTAAATCTAAAGACATTCCTATTTTCTAAATATTAAAAACAAACTCTGAAGTAACTTAGAATTAACTTTGTGTGTGCTTTGAGCAGATTTAATTGTTTGGAGTTTAGCGAGATATAAGAATCCTATTATAAAATCGGGTTATGGGAGGCTCGCTCACTGCGCACATCATAATTTCCAAACTAGCTTTCGTGGCTCCAAACATGCCACCCTTGTCAGTGGTGTAGGACGGGGGTCTGGCAACGGACAACGTATAGTTAGTTGTTCGATTCCGGGCACGGGATCCCGTTTTAGTTATCCCATCCGAACGACTATACGTTGTCTCTTGCCATGACATGGGGGAACCAGGCATAAAAAATCGCGATAGAGGGCAAACGTCCTTCTCACTGAGCCACCGTAGCTCCCACCTCATTTTTTCTATCCCATCCGAACGACTATACGTTGTGCCTTACCAGGAACTTTGATGAGCCACCGTAGCCCCCACTACATTTCGAATCCGGACACGGCACCTCGTTTTTTTTTTGTATCTCATTCGAACGACTATACGTTGTCTCTTACCAGACCCTCCGTCCTACACCACTGACGTGGGGGGGGGGGACGCATGAAAAATCCCGATGAACGTTGATGAAGTTAGAGAGCAAAGAAAGATTCGACTGAAGACTTAAAATCAAATACAGAATACAATACTATCTGTCCAAAAGCAGATTAAAACTGATTAGGAGTTTTAAAACTTTCTTGAACTCCAAACATTTCCGTCTATTTGAATCTATGTTCAAATATATATAAATGCCGATACGGTAGTCAGTGGACTTCCGAGGCGAGTACGCGAGGGAGCGAGAAGTCCAGAATGTGACGAAGCGAGAAGTCGATAAATACTCAAAGTCGAGAAGGTGAGGGAACGAAAAGTCGAGGATTTTCAAAGGCGAGAACGCGAGGGAGCGAGAAGTCGAGGGCGAGAGTGCGGGAACGTGAGGATTTTCAAAGGCTAGAACGTGAGGGAGCGAGAAGCCGAGGTAAAAAATAATCTCGTTTTTTCGGTGCAAGATCCTCGCATTCTCGCCCTGTTTCCTCGCGTTCTCGACCTCGACTTCTCGCAGCGAGACGTCGAGATTATGAAATGGCCGCAATAGGCTTCCATATCAAACTCAAACTGTCCAATCAGTGACAGGTCAGTTCTTTATTTTAGCTACGAGCACTGTGGGGGGCAATCTGAACGACAGACTCACCCGACCTACAGAGAAGTGACTCTGATACAGTGAATAGCCATAATATCCATATGACGTTATCTAAACGTCACAGGTCATGAGGTCACATCAACAAACAAATGTAAACATCATCATTATTGTGCTTCGGTCGTGTCTATTTCAGATATACACAATCAATTCTGTTAATGTTTTTAGCGTGGGGATTGACTAAAAGTTAATTTATTTCAGTTCTAAACAAAAATTTAAAACTTTAACGCAATTTTAAAAAAATAGCCAAAGTCTGGCTGGGATTACTGAGCAAAATGGCCATTCACTGTATACGTGCGAAAAAAAAAGCCAGCTACCATTTAATTTTCGTACGTTAGTTACGTACGTGTGGGAGGCATATACCACGAGGTTCGCATAAGAGACTGGGACTAGGCATAAGGGTCAGTGATTGGGCCTCTTTAGGCCCCCCTTAGTCATAAAGAGATGTGATCCAATAATAAAGCCAAAATATTAAAATGTGCATGTCCTTCCCACACTCTGACTAATTTCTTGTCCCATTCCTACCCTTTGAAATTGCTCAAGATGAACCCAAATACCAAAATTTTCTTGCCAGGACACTGGAAATGTACGAAATGCTCCTAAACTGATTCTAAGTATACCTGGTTGTGTATTGTGTCGAGCTCTTTGAGATAAGACTCGCGTTCAGACCCATACACAATACACCCATAATCGATGAAATGTTTTAGTCCCAAATGTCCACTGGCCGAAACGTCCTACATTTGAAATGTAATACACCAGAATATTCGAGGTTTCTCACGCCCGTTTTCCACTCGTTTGGGTTAAAGTCTGCTGGCCTGCCATTGGCAGTTTTAAGAATATGAAAGAATAACCTTTTCCAGATTTTATTGGCTCTGAAAAGAGCCGTTTGAAACAGTCTTTGCGGAGTTTATACTCAAGCCATATTTCGTATCTTGTTCCTCAGAGATAAAACTTCTTCCGCTTTCTGATGAGCGTATTCATAATAAGCATTTCTTACTCCCTCTGCTACCGACATTCTCAATCTAATGTTATAACGAACTGGACGTAGTTCATCTCTTCTGGCTCTATTGTAACTAACTTGAAGATCTTTTAGTTTATTATTTAATAAAGTAACCTGCTCACAGGCTCGACGGAATCTGTACTCAGTCTCAGACAAGGTGATGTGAAGTCTTGAAATAAATTCCATCTTTGATGTTCAATATTTTCAGCAGTGAAGATGTATTAAGATTAGAAGTAGAGTTGTCTAACTGGTAATTAAAATAACATATCAACTTCTCTCTTCGTTATTTATACCATCATGAAACCACTGACATTATTTTCTCTGTATGACAATCTGACACTAGTATATATCTGTGTATGGCTGTCAGGTATTATCTGATGTGTTGTGATTACACTGATTATCTTATTGTATACTAATTAATCAATTAACGACATTTTAATTACTGTGATACATTTTGATTAATTAGTTGATCTTCGTGTGAGCTTTTCCCGTAAAATCTAAACTTATGTTGTTTGTAGTATCATGTTTATTTTACTATTAGGATAAAATGAGAGAGAGAGAGAAAGAGAAAGAGAGAGAGAGACGGGGTTTAACGTCCACTCGACACAAACTAGGTCATTTCAGGACTATGGTTCAATTTTATTTCAATAATTCGCTTGCGCTTAAGGGTCTTTAGCAGTGTGTGTGTGTGGGGGGGGGGGAGAACCCGGAGAAAACCCACGAGGTTGGACAGGCGACCCCTCCCCCTCCCCCCCCCCCCGGATAAAATGAGAATCCATGTTTTTATATCTCTAAAATAGCTGTGGCTTCTGAAATGGGAGGTCAAACTATCGATTACTTTAGTTACATAGTGTGACATATAAAATATTCTCTGCGTGCCTTTTAAAGTTCAATGTATGTATATTATACAATAGAAAGTAGTGGTATATATATGCATATATATAAATTAATTAACAACATTTTATTAATCGTCATATATGTTAATATGATATTAGTTTGAACAACCTGTCAATCTTTGCATGACGGTTTTCCGTAAAATATAATAATGAAGTACACAAGTTTATATTTTATGGAAAATGATATAGTTTCAGCTATTTGTGTTTTTATGTTTAGGCCACGATTTTAACAAAGTGAGAATCCGTGTTGAAAAAATAGCTTACATTATTTGTAAAATTATGTTTTATTTATATCATCTACTTGTAGATATATTTTAATTGAGCGTGTAATTTTTACTAAACCTTCAGTGATTTCTTTTTCTAGAAAGTTGAAATTGTATATTGTACAAATTTTATACTTTGCTTTTTCTGTGATACGGTGCTTACATTGAGGCGGTTGGGTGGCCGAATGGTTTAATGCGGGCGCTTTAGATCATAAGGTCTATCACTGAGTCAAGTGACCTCTTGTGAGTTTTCTCTGAAATAAAATTGAACTACTATGGTAGTACCGAAATGATCTAGTTTGTGTCGAATTGACGTTAAATCTCATTTATCGGTCATGTAATTTGTACGAGTTGGTGTCAAAGTGGGGAATTTGTCCCCCCGCCCCCAATTCCACATTGAATCTGGTCTGTCCCATGTTCGCCCCTCCTCCCCTCCATAATTTTTAAAAAAATATATTTGTGATATGTTTGCGTAATCAACCCTTCTTCTACTGTGATTAAATCCTACATTCTCACTCAGTCATTGACTTGTATGTTTGCATCAAAATCGTTATTCTTGGGTATTCTGATAGCACACTGCACTTTATTATTGAATTATTGCATGTCTGTCCGCAGTAGTGTTTATAATTTTCAACGTTTTTGAGCACAACTGCAATTTAGTGTATTTTTTGCGAAAAATGGTACAAATTAGTATCTGGATTACGTCAGATATTTCATAACCAAATACATAAAGCATGAAAATTAAATGAAATGAGGTTTAACGTCCTACTGTTCTGCTCCGATTGGGCATACTGGGCTAATGAAGACAGTGTGCTATAATGGAAATTTTGCCCGGGCAGTGGCACTGTAACCTACTCTTATACCGAATTCCAACTTCCAATGGATCTTTTACGTGCACGGCAATGTGTACACGGGACCTCGGTTTTTCGACTATGCGTTGTCCCCTTGACAGGCCCTCTGCCATGCACCACTGACAATGGGGAAC